CCATTCAATTATTCTTTTGTTAGAAGACTACTTAATGAGACTCTACTGAACCCACTTCCAGTATTGTAGACCATGAGTGCAGTTCCGACACGTTCGAGGCGAATCTGCCATCGTACGGTACCACCAGTGGTAAGACAATAGACGGTGTAGCGGCAAAGGCAGATAATGGATGGTTGAATCGGTGGCGTGTCCTCCATCGCCATGTCTACGCACGTGTCTCCCAAATTGAAGGTCCAATCGAACTGAAACATTAGAATAACCAAATCCGGTTTTGATTTAAGAAAGCAGTCCACGCTGTTCGTATGGGCGGGATGAGGCGTAGCATTGTGCCTAGCTCATTGGCGCGTCTCTCAGTCCTAATGCGGCCAGATGGAGTGCAAAAAATGAGAAGGTACAATGGTTGACTGTCTCCATCCGTTTCTCCCTCCATATAATTAGCAAGGAATTTGCCTTCAAAGGAAGCGATCACGGGAAAAATGATGCCTTCTGAAGCTAAATACAGTAGAAGGGACGCTACCATTTGAAGAACAGCGAGAAGCAGCCATTCGTCTGCCGCTAGGGGCGTGGCCGCGGCTCACCAAGTGGAACGGGCACATCGAGCCCATACTTTTTTTACTGTGAACGCGTTACAGTCTTTGCTGCTGTCGCTGAAACGTGTTAGGGGGGGGAAGGAGGTTAGAGCAGCGCTGATCCGCTCTCCACCAAATGCGTACAGTTGCTGGAAAATTAGCTGACGCCGCGCTAAATCCAGCCCTCACGACACTCCCCAGAGCGGCGGATAAGATTGAATCTAGGGCAAACCTCGTTCCATCACGAGGCCAGGGGCTCTACTTGCTTACAACAAAATCTAGCGGGGAAATATATAAAAATGTCCGAAGTGGTATAAAAGCCTTGAAATAATGTGAGTCTTACCGTAACCTTTGCACGGTGTTGCCAAGACCTGCTAGCAGGCTGAACTTCACACTATGCAGTTGTCCTCCATTTGAAGTAACTAAGGAGGACGACGGGTAGCAATAGGATACTGGTCCAGGATGGAGAGCTGGCAACGGGAGAAAACGAGAGGAAGTAAACGATAGTGGCCTGAATAACTACCAGGAAGGGAGCCGCATTTTCTACTACCTACGACCAATTAAGTGGATATATCCGAAGACATGAATGGAGCAGGGGATCATCAAGGTTAGCAGAGACCAATTACCCCATTAAAAACTAAAGTCGAGCCTTCGCCCGTGATCAGTCCCCTTTTTTGGATGGATCACGCATTCTACTTCCATTCATAATAGTACTGGATTTATTGATTGCGATTTTCCCTATACACTTACTTGCGGGGCCACGCGATGTACAAGATAATTTTCTTACCCTCTTGGACAAGTGTGGTAACTAAGTTGCCGTCTCGTGGCGGAAGGTAAAGGGCTTGCTTGATGCCGAGACGCGGACCCATGATTTGACCCCCGGATCGCACGGTTAGCGCGTGGCCCTCGTTTATTTATGCCCATTGCTAGCTTCACTTAGTCCATATATTCTGGGGCACCGCAGCTGATTCCACGGCAATCATTTTGGTGATGGATTACTTGGGTTTGGTCAGCTGTTGTGCTCCTTGACTACTCGGACTCACCTTGATAGAGAGTGAGCACGCATCCGATGGATTGCACGAGCAACTGCTGAGTTCCTGTGGACGGAATCGTGCACATGTTATAGGCATGTTCAGGCGTTTGATGTGAAAACATCTCCTCCAATTTCGTTCGCGACTGGTCTGTGGCATCTAAACAAGGAAAAACTGGGAGTACTAAATTTGTTCGAATATTGTGCCTTCTCGGACACGGTACAGCATCGTTGTGTGAAAAACATAGAAAGGGGGTCGTTTTTTCGACTGGGGAGGGGTCGTCCATTGGTAAGTCGTCGTATGGGAGAGTGGGGAGGGTCGTATGGGGCTTTGCAGGAGGAATTGCCGAGATGGGAAAAAATTTCTTCACGCGGCCGCCTCCGGGAATAATCGTAGCCGCGAGAACCTGGCCCCATCCTGCGCCCAAGCCAAGCCTGTTTTACGTGTGAGCGGTCGTACTGAGACCCACGCATGTTTCACACATCACGATGCTGTACCCTGTTGCCGGAGCCCCACTAGGACCTAAAACGGTAACAAAATTTCTGCCGTTGAATTTTATTTTCGGGATATGGCATGTTTCCACTTTCATTCAGGACCGTAAAAGCTAACTGAACTGGCCTATTAAATGGCTTGCGGGGCCAGCTGTACGAGTCAGTGTTGTTATCCGATGAATCTGCTACAGTTCACCGTCCTCCGAGGGTAGGCCTGGGCGAGGCCCAGCCGGGATTTTGCTGTCGGAACGCGCGTATTAAGGCTTATAACTCCCAGTACCCGTCCAGATCCCACTACGATCCCGTCTGGGTGCCGAAGGCATGGCGCATCTCAAAACGAAGACATGGCTTCTCACCCTGTGTTTCTATACGGGGAACTTTTGAGGTACATGGTGATCAGTTCGATAATGAAATTCTACAGGGTCAAGTCACACCAGGAGCCAGAGATGGAAGCAAGTCAATCTTAAAACACATCAAGGCGCTATTAGTCTTGAGTCAGGGACATTTTAACGGCGATTTGTGTACGGAAATTCTATTCGAATATTAAAAGGATAAGGTCTTCGCCTGTTGATCAATCCCTTTGTGGGATGCGGCACGCATTCTACTTCCATTCAGAATCGTAGTGGCTTATTGAATGCGATGTGGCCTATACAATGACTTGCGGTGGCCAGCCGATGTACAAGTCAGTGTTTTATCCTCCCAGACGAATCTGGTACCAATTTACCGTCCCCGGAGGGTAGAAGGCTTGGTTGGCCTGGGCGGGTGTCGACCCGGGATTCGAACCCGGACCGCGCGAGTGGTAAGCGCGCCACTTGTCACTACACCACCTCCCCTCATTCGAATATTAGTACTTAATAATCATATAGTTTTGCACAAGGAGTCTTTTGAGTGACCCCAAGGCCATCAGCTTTGATTATTAGTTCCGAAAATAGTAAATTTCTAAAGGTTTCCAAAAGTTTGTAAGTTTCCAAAAGTCCAAAAGAATTTTCAGAATGATTCTAAAAGCTAGTCGTTTTCGTCAGACATGTAATCACTCTGAATGATGGTGGGCAACTCGCTCATATCAAGTCATTCATAAAGCCTTACCATAGCTGAGCTTGAAGTAGGACAGAGTGTAAGGTGTCAGTACCGCCAGAACCTGAAATGTCAATCAATCGGTCATAAAAAAGTGCGAATTATAACAATTCTGAGCAAAAGGCTAGACAGGAGGAGGGCTTACAGATCCAACGCTAGTGAGGAATTCTCCAATGATAATGTCGATGATAGGCCGTCCTATAGGTTGCTCCAGCAGCACTGGATCCTTTTCGCTTCCGCCTGGGTCCAGTATCGTCAGCACACCATCTTCACCACCAATCAGCAACTGATCTATTTTACTTCATTCATTAA